GGGGGGGGGGAGTGTGTGTTTACTTTCGAGCATCAGACGCGGTTGCTGCCCCTCTCTGGTTAGATAGAGAATTGCTGATGAGCAAGGAGGGATGACAGAAGTGACTCTAGCTGTTTCTGACCTCTGACCTCACAGTGATTATTAATATCATGTTTTCATTATTCCATCGTGGACTCTGAGTGAATTACTGCAAGGCTGCGTTTGTCACGTGGTGGTGCTGATTCTCCACTTTCAAAGTAAAACTAATTAAATGTCCTGCCAGTGGTCTCTGGCCTTCTGCTTACAGAAAATTAGACATTAGGTTTTCAGACAGAGGAGGTTTTTCATAGTGTGCGTTTTCCAGAAAAGAAAAGAGTTACAAAGAAAAAAAATGTTGACTCCTAGATTGTTGTTTCAGCAGTATGTGGAGGCGGGAGGAGGCCCCATTGCTATGCTTGAAACGGGGCCAACCTCACTCCCCCTCCCCAACTAACTGTGCAGGCAAAGGGTGAAAAACCCATTCTGCAACACAGAGCATACCTACTGATTTAATTGCTGTTTGTATAATCTCATTCCTGGTGGTGGGAAACACTTCCATACATTTTATCTTGGTATTCAATGAGAAAATGTAGGCTACAGAGTGAAGCAGCAGTTTCAGGGACCCGAATGAATGAAATGGTCGTTGTTTTTTTTCAAAAAGAAATCCCCTAAAACTCACTGAAAACCATCCCGAACCATCATGCATAAAAACTCCGGTTACATCATAGGGAGGGGGTTGTGAGTGTAGCGCAGCCGGGACGAGATGATTACTTCCAGATACTGTGGCGGGGTCTTTGTCTTAAAAGTGCACACGCACACTCGCAAGTCTGTCTGCCTCTTTCTCTCTCCCTCTCTCGTGCATTCTTTAAAGTTTCAGGAAAGTGCAATGACACATGTAAATCTTTAAAGGGGCCTCATTAAAACAAAAACAAAAAAAAAAACTTTCAAGTTTATTACTAGCAAAGAAATGTTATTGTCATAGAGCAGTGGAATGACAAGGCACTTCCTGTCCAAAAGAAAGGTATGATTTAAAGTAACCACACAAAGATTTCCATCAGGCTCTGTGTGTATACGTGTGTGTGCGTAAGCATTTTTTCTTTTTTACTATAGACTGAACTCATGCATGAAGGCATTCTGTGGAGTCTAAGCTGTGGAAAAAGTAGGGAAGAAGTTGGTGTCAGATTGTGGGAGTGGGTGTATGATCATCTCTGGTAATTTTTGGGAGGTCTGAGTCATAACGTGAAAAAGTCTCACATGTTTCGGCGAATAAGAAGCAGCGATTTGATTCACTTAAGCTTGGTTTCTTAGGAAATATCAATCAGCCCTATTGATCTTTTATTTTGTTCCAATTTCACAAATATATAAAGAAAACAACAACAAATGTTTATAGAAAAGTTCATTCTAGTTGCCTATTCTCTACAAACCCCATATCTTGGATATCTAATGCTGTAGTAAATAAATAAATCTGTCATTTGGCCTGCTGGCAAACCCCCAGCCTGCCATCTCAACCATCACACACTTTGACATGCTAAAACTGCACAATGTAGATTTACTCAGAGGAGTTTGTGTAACCGCTAATGAAAAAATGAAACCCTCCCACAACCACTCTGTGGAGTGACCCGAGTAAAGTTAATCTGAGCAGCTGTGATGTGGGCCCTAAAGTGACCCACATCACAGCTGTTTGGGTTGCTTATCTAGATGGAAAACGTCCATTTAATTCGAAAATTGGTTTAAGGTCCGATTGAAACCGCAAAACAAGACGCCCGTCTTTGTTGTGCCACCAAGCTTATAATTAAGTGGCTGTGGTGTAATGAAGGCGGGTTGTCCAGACGTCTTTAGGCAGTGTGACATTTGTACAATGCAAACAATTACAATTACAATACGACCATAACACAAATCAAGCTCAAGTCCACCGTCTGCACAGACACAGAATTCTGTTGGTCTCGTAAATAACCAGTATATTTAATACTTGTATACAACTTACTTGAAGTCCCAACTTCAGGATGATTTTCAAAACTCACAAAACTGTATTTGAGTCCCAATCAAACATAGAAAACATCAAATGTTTAAACTTAGGAAATGCACCATTTTAAGAAACAATGTTATTTTGAAAAGCATCCACTCTTCTTTTATCAACAGCGTTGGGTCTTCTATGTTGTATTTTAGTCAATGCTAAATGTTTCCAGCTGGTGAAAGATTATGACTGCTTGTATACCAGTTCAGCACCAGAAATCATCTGGACGGGAGCATATTTTCTAAAACCTGTACATACCTTTCGGCATTGATGATGGCTTTCCAGCAGCTGCCAGTTTCACAGGCATTAATCTGCCTCCATACGTCACAGATGCAGGAACTGAATACTGATCGCAAGACAGATTGTCTCTCGTCTTAGCCCAGAGAACACTGCGTCCATGTTTGCAAGTGAATTTAAATTTTCGTTTTCAGCTGACCACCGACCAGCTCTCCACCTTAGTCTATTTTAGTTGAGCTTTGACCGAGTTCACATATTTGCATGATAGAGCTTTTTCCTGCATTTGTGGATGGCATGGTAAACTACACTCAACAAAAATATAAACGCAACACCTTTGTTACTGCTCCCATTCCCCATGGGATGGACGTAGAGACCTAAAATTCATTCCAGATACACAATATAACCATCCCTCCCAAACAGTGGTCACAAATCAGTCCAAATGTGTGGTAGTGGGCACATCTGCTATATTGAGATAATCCATCCCACCTCACAGGTGTGCCACATCAGGATGCTGATCTGACATCATGAGTAGTGCACAGGTGTACCTCAGACTGCCCACAACAAAAGGCCACCCTGGAATGTGCAGTTTTGTCTCACAGCAAAATGCCACAGATGCCACAAGCAATGAGGGAGCGTGCAATTGGCATGCTGACAGCAGGAATGTCAACCAGATCTGTCGCCCGTGCATTGAATGTTCATTTCTCAACCATAAGCCGTCTCCACAGGCGTTTCAGAGAATATGGCAGCACATCCAACCGGCCTCACAACCGCAGACCTCGTGTAACCACACCAGCCCAGGACCTCCACATCCAGCAGGTTCACCTCCAAGATCGTCTGAGACCAGCCACCCAGACAGCTGCTGGAACAATTGGTTTGCACAACCAAACAATTTCTGCACAAACTGTCAGAAACCGTCTCAGGGACGCTCAACTGCATGCCCGTCGTCCTCATCGGGGTCTTGACCTGACTCCAGCTCGTCGCCGTAACAGACTTGTGTGGGCAAATGCTCACATTCGATGGCATCTGGCACGTTGGAGAGGTGTGCGCTTCACGGATGAATCATGGTTCACATTGTTCAGGGCAGATGGCAGCTGAGAATGTCCCAGTTCTTGCATGGCCAGCATACTCACCGGACATGTCACCCATTGAGCATGTTCGGGATGTGCTTGACCGGCGTATACGACAGCGTGTACCAGTTCCCACGAATATCCAACAACCTCGCACAGCCATTGAAGTGGAGTGGACCAACATTCCACAGGCCACAATTGACAATCTGATAGACTCCATGCGACGATGTGTTGCACTGCATGAGGCAAATGGTGGTCACACCAGATACTGACCGGTTCTGGGTCCCCAGACCCCCAATAGCGCAAAAAACTGCACATTCCAGGGTGGCCTTTTGTTGTGGGCAGTCTGAGGTACACCTGTGCACTACTCATGATGTCAGATCAGCATCCTGATGTGGCACACCTGTGAGGTGGGATGGATTATCTCAATATAGCAGATGTGCCCACTACCACACATTTGGACTGATTTGTGACCACTGTTTGGGAGGGATGGTTATATTGTGTATCTGGAATGAATTTTAGGTGTCTACGTCCATCCCATGGGGAATGGGAGCAGTAACAAAGGTGTTGCGTTTATATTTTTGTTGAGTGTATGTTTACACAGCATCCCAACTTTTTTGGACATGGAGCTTGTATGTTTTGGTGAGGATATGTAGAATAAATCAAAAGCCAGACAAAGGTGAGCCCAGTATAGGCACTTTGTTTTATTTTAAAGCCAAAGGGGAAAAAAGCACAAACTCAAAGTTCAATCATAGTTTAGACAGCATGATTCAGGTACTATATGAAGATGATAATATGACCAGACACATGCTGAATTTTACCAGTTTGATCTGGATCACCTTTCTGTGTGTGTGTGTGTGTGTGTGTGTGTGTGTGTGTGTGTGTGTGTGTGTGTGTGTGTTGCTCCACCACTTGATGCTCATTGATTTCCAAACACTAACATGGATCACAGTTGGTAAATGCACTTGATTTTTATGGTATAGAAAGTACAGGCTTAGTATTTTCAAATCCATCCCTCTGCAGGTTACTGGGTTGTAGCCCATCACTCCCGTCCAAAGGTGTTTCTTCTTCATCTTCTTCTTCTTTAGTGTCTGGCAGTGAAGTCACACTAGAGTCTTCATCTACATTTGGCACACTCCTTAAAAGTTCATCCTGCGCATCCGATTGCGCTGGTTCTCTGTTACGATCAGCGCCATCATGTCGGATTATGCATGAAGCAGCAGTGTTCAGACCTTTGTGATGTCCAGCTTCAACAGGGTCTGTTCCATTACACCTATGTGAGTCTGTTCTGCTCTCCATTGCTGTATCAGGAACGGGAAATAATGCATCAGACACGCTTGACCGCTACCAATTTCTAATGTTAGTTGATAAGCTATATCAAACCTTTTTTGTGTTGTTTTGTGTAATATTGTGTAGAATTTAACCAACAGACATAAAGATCAGAGATCAGCGATCAAAGAGCAGTTTTTGAATACTTTTCTTTTCTCCCTGGAAGTCGTAATTCTACCACCACCTTTTCTCTTTATCTTCATTTGTTCGTTTTGTATCACTCTCATACTGTCAGTGGAATCATTCACATAAAAACTGAGAT